GGAGCAGTAGCGACAGGAGCAGCAGTAGTATTAGAATCAGTAAAAACTGTAGTATTAGTATCAGTAGCAGCAGTAGTAGAGCAGTAGCAGCAACAACAGTAGTAGAGTAGTAGCAGCAGCAACAGCAGTAGTAGTAGTAGTAGCAGCAGCAGTAGCAAATTCACAAAACGTGACAACATAAACTTGTAACAAAATCATATGATGGAAATTTTGAATCGTATTAAAAGATTCAGATTGATGTATTTTTGTAACAATTTAAGAGGCACAGAAAACGGGACGAAGCAAAACGTTGACACTCTTATGTTAGCATCAAAAACGATTATTTTGTCATTATCAACAGCTGGAGCTGTTTCATTGAGTGTTTTCTTGTCTCTCTTTTTTATTTGAATGCTGAATCAAGAATCAATATCACTGCACTTGGGACATTCTCATAAGCGATCCGTCCCCATGTTTAGCAGCAAGCATAGAGTTCCAATTCCGCTGGTACCAGTAACAGTCCGATTGTATATCCGTCTCATACTTTCCCTTGAGTGTTGAGCGTCAACCAGATCCCTCGATCATTCATCGCCTCACTAGTCTCCTCATACCGTAATGATCTGTTTGTGCATTTGTTTGGCAGACTATGGTATGCTTCTATATGTCAAAAGCCGCGTTAAGTTATGTTTCTGTCACATTTGTAAATATCGATTCCGTGCACTTACGTTGTACCCCCACTGTCTCTTTAAGGACTAGTGTGAAAAGGAGCCTTTTTCGCTCAAGAGTATTGGGCACAAAGGGCCTGACCTATATTTTATAGACCAATCGACACTCGGTGGGTGATGCTGTCAACATTACTCCTGCCGTCTTTGCTTCCGATGACTTTACCTGGTACCCGTTTAAGGCTTGGTCGACTTGGCAGCCAGGGTCATTTTTGAAAAACGTCTGGTTCCGTCATGACCTTCAGCCACTACACATCATTATTCATACTACTACCACCACCACTACCACCACCACTGTTGCTACTACTGCTGCTGCTGCTGCTGCTACTACTACTACTACTACGACTACTACCACCACTTCTACTGCCACTGCTGCTGCTACTTCTACTACTACTACTACTACTACTACTACTACTACTACTACTACTACTACTACTACTACTACTACTACTACTACTACTACTACTACTACTACTACTACTACTACTGCTGCTACTACAACTTCTACTACTGCTTCTTCTTCTTTTTTCTCCTCCTCCTCCTCTTTCTCTTCTTCTTTGCATTCACCGGCTGTAAGCACCCTCGGACAATCCTGGTTTTTCGTCCACCTCCGGACTTTAGTCCTATTCCAGAAACTGTGTTGCGTGCTCATCCGTTTCACTGGTCTGACTCAATTGTATGTAGGCTGCTGGTCTCTTGTCTCTCAGACAGATGTACTCCGACTTCGAATGAAGCTCTCAGTAAGTCGATTCTTACGACAAGCTATTGGGCAGGAAGTGGGTCTATTCTTGTTTTCCCTCACAATGTGGCCCTGGATCTCACACTGGGAAAACTTCGCATTCACTAGGCATTGTTGAATTCGAATATGTTGTGCTGTATTCACACCTGATATGGAACGTGTCTTGCTATGGTCACACCTGCAGTGGGGAGAGTTCTGAAAATGCAAAACAGGAAGATAACAAGTATACTTCGTCAAGCAGGTATAAGCTTAGAATACCACAATAGAATATTGGCAGAGTTCGTTTCCAGCAATTGTATTAACTTTTCTGGAAAACGACCGTTGTGTTTTTATCATAATTGCTGCTCTAACCGCCCCCATCTCCAAACGCCAAGACGGCTAGCAGGAAATTATTCAGTGTGAATTCTTATCGATCTTTGACGACTTGGAGTGTTTTGGACTTAGCGTCATCAAGATAATATAAAAAATGTCCGACTGTCACGTCGGTTTTTCTGTGCGCGTGAGGTGTGTGCACGGTTGTGGCTACACACATGTGTGTCAGTCAGTCAGTAACTAGTCAAGTCCTTTGCAGAACCTTGCTCCCACAACAACCGTCCGGAAAACTTCTCGATCACAAGCAAGATGTTCCGCGTCCGATACACCCATCTGGAGATCATCCGCCACATCTGGCACACATCTTCGGTTTGGCCTTCCTCTTTCTCTCTTCCCAGGCATATACCCCTCCATTATTGTTCTCTCTAAACTTTCGTGACGTTTTGTGACCAAAATACGTCAATTTTCTGTGTTTTATCGTCTTTAATAGCCAACCTTCTTTAGTATTCAGCTCGTGAAGTATTGCTACATTTGTTCTTGTCTTTACCCATGATATTCTCTCCCCCGCCCCCTTTTTTTAAGCATCCAGAAACCGTGAGTTGTTAACCCTTTGGTTCGATACTGTGGATATCGCAAACATTCGACCTTGATGCCATGATAGACACCGTAAATCTGGGAGAAATGTGGCTTTTCTGCCTACCCCCGGGAGTGAACCCGGACCACAAGGAGTTCGTCACCCGGTCGCCGTGAAGTCAGGTTTAACCAACTAAGTTAGCGAGCCGGGCCCACGATATTCTTAGAACCCTTTTCATGTATGTTATGCTTTCTTGGCAAGTTTTGAAGAAGGTAGTTTGTCATTGCTTTCCTTCTGGGCACATGTGTAGTGAGTACGTATCTTACGTCTTGTTAGATATCAAAAGCTTTTATAGTGTAAGTATATGTAAGACGCCAGTGAAGTAAACAACGTACATGTATTGTCAGTTTGTTAACTGGGAGCCTCCGTTCTGTAACGGCTAGATGCTTGCCTGTAGACCCGATAGCTGTGGGTTCGAAACCGAACAACAGAGTCGGACTTTTGTTCTGTAAAAAGTGGCCTCGAGTGGGTACCAAGTGAAGTCCAAGAATGAAAAGGCGGTCGGTGTCATGATTACCATAACATCACGGGGTAGTGGCTAGACGTTCACCTGCGGAACGGAAGTTCGTGTTTTCAGGTTCCGAGGGAGCCCGACCCCCCCCCCCCCCCTTTCCACACCAGAAATGATCTTGGCTCCCAGGTCGACTCAGCCTTGAGCGGGGGCCGGGTAAAGTCATGGGATGTAAAGGCCGACGGCGGGATGGTGACCACATCACCCACCGAGTTTGAATTTGTTTGTCATGTGTGTTTTTTTCTCTTTATATAATGTGCAAGCAACAGTCTGCATACAGATGAGTCAGATCTATAAAACGGATGCACACACAATACTCAGGTTCTGGAACAGGACTGCAGCTCAGAAGTGGACGAACAACCAGCACTTTCCACCAGAGTTTACAGCCGGTGAACGCAAAGAAGAAGATATAATGTGCTCATTGGCAGACCATCTAGAGTGTCTGTGCTGCAAGAAATTGAACTAGAACATATAGAATACAATACCTAATTTCTGAGAATTATTAAGCCTCAGAAAACATAACTAGAATGAAAACAAAAAGCATAAACGCTACAAGTTGAGCTCTGCGACTGATCCTTCTAAAATCGATGAGTTGATTTATCCGGGGAGACGTCTTGTTCATTCTTGGACCCTCTCTCTGGGGCGTGAACGTTTCTCTCACAGTGTCTCTCTTCGCTTTCACCCCCTCACAGTCTCTCTCTCTCTCTCTCTCTCTCTCTCTCTCTCTGTGTGTGTGTGTGTGTGTAAAGAGGATTAGAAATGCTTTTATCATGTTGCACAAAACTTGCATGAGTTGTAAAGCTCTCTTTGGGGAAAAGGTATAAAAGCCGTCTTCGACATTTAGCGTTTATAGTAGTAGCATTGTAGAGAATCGGTATAATCCCGTCGATATTCTGCAGACGTGATTAGTGATTAAAAAGGATTATCATCACAGCACTCCGGACAGATCCATAGGTGCTCCGATCTACTCCTCAAAAGGTCCACAAGTGTAAAACGACTGATGACGCCTGCTCTGTGTTGGTTAATAAAACGTCTTGTCCCCTTAGTTTTTACAGACGTGTGTCATTTAAAGGTGGGCTGTATGGGTTGGTCGTTAGACAGGTTGGTCGGTAGGTAGGTTGGCTGGGTAAAAGATTAACGAAGTGTGTTGGTTAGTTTGCAGGCGTGCTGATTGGTTTCCTAGTTCATAGATGAACTGGCAAGTAAATTAGTTGGTATACTGGTTAGCTGCAGGTAGATTTATTAGTTTCTCAATTATTTGGCCTAATTGCTATCTTATTTGATTGATTGATTGATTCTTTGGTTGTCTGTAGTGTAACTAATATCAAATAGTATTAAATGTGACAAAATGTGACTAGAAAGTTCATTAGAGTTATATCTACTTCTGCTGTTAAAATAGCTACTTCTACTTCTTTTTTCCCCTGCCTTTCCATCCCCTGCCTTTCTATCCCCCAATGGAGCATAGGCCTTCAGCCAACTCAGGCCAAGTCGTTATATCCTTCGCTATTACATGGAGCTCTCCCCATGTCCTCTCTTTCTTCATAACTTCATTCTCGAGCTTTGGGGGGGGGGGGGGGGGCGCTTCATTTATTCTTATGCCCCCGTGGGTTCCAATGCAGAGACATTCTAATTCATTCCCCTTGCTACTTCCGTTGTTCTCTCTATATCATAGAGCGGTCTAACATTGCATGTGCCAATTCTGGAGGTTTTCCGAGCTGAGAGGAGGTATTTCGACGAAGTCGACCTACCTATTGGGCAGGTGTATTCAGACTTCGAAGGAAACATCCCTGATTAGTCGCCTTTTACGATATGCAGAAGATGACATCGGAGCTAGGCTCTCATTGTCCATACCTTCAGTTTCACTACACACTTCCACACACTACACGGACACACACTTACACTACACGGACACACACTCACACTACACGGATACACACTCACACAACCCTCCACCCGCCCACCACACGGATACACACTCACGCAACACCCCTCCCGCCCACCACACGGACACACTCACACCCCACGCACGTACGCCACAATACACACATTCCCTGTACAAGATCTAACATCGAAGCTAAATCCTGCCTGTGAATACTTTACTTTCAGATCACCAGAAGCTAGAGAGAGAGGCCAGGATATGCAGGCTACTCAAACATCCGAATATAGGTCAGTCATCTATGTTGTGCCTGTTTGTCCAAATCAGTTCTTTATTTAAGAGAAGCGTTGTTTGTTTTAAACTAGGTCATGTCCCTATTTGATGGCCCAAAATGTTCCTCCCCATTTGGTGGTGGGGGGGGGGGGGGGGAATTGGCGGGACTCTTGATATTGATTTAAAAAAAATATCATCTGTAGAGTGCACTTCTTTTAGCGAACCTAATATTTCAGTATGACTGCTAACAAGTATGAGGCAACCACTGCTCTGCCGCAGTGTTTTTCAGCCTGTCACATCCGTGGGCCGACAAAACATGTGACATTTTTGTTTTCGCGGACTACCTGACAGCTAAATAAATTAAAATGGCAGGTTTTTGTTTGTTTACCCCGCCACCTCGAGATAGTTCATTATATGTAAGCATGTAGAAATGCCCCTGGCGTGACACAGCTAAATTTGACTGATTGTAAACTGCGCATCGTGTTGTTTGTGTCCTTCCTATTTTATTGACATTTATGAGAAGCACATTGCAGTCTGAGAGAAAGTGATAAGATACAATACAATTCAAACGGTTCACCGTAAACAGTTGTCTGACGAAAAATGAGACGATCTAGCTGATCAGGAAATATGATAAACACACAATTAATAATTCATTTACAGGAAAGATAGTCAAAGAAATCTCAGTTTAAAGAGTAGGATAGAGCGAATTTAAAGGCCTGACTGACGTGTGATTTTACGTCTCCGGGCTGCTCCCTGAACAGTTTGACACTATGGGATCAGAAAGTCTCAATCTGGATGTAAGACCAACAAGACCTAAATGTTCAATACGGTGAGACTGAAGAGTCTCTGTTGATGGCAGACCAACAGGGCAAGCCCGTTCAGCTTCTGAAGAATTTATAATTAGGGCTACACAAACTTGTTGCAATCTGTAGTCCTTTGTGGGTGCTGAGTTCTAGTGACTGGCAAGATGATGCAGTAGTGTACACCGATGGTTGGGGATTTTCAGCTAGAATTAAGGAAAAGAGTGTGGCAGAACAAAGTGCAGCTTTTTTCTCTGCATCTTTAAGCATGAGGATGAAGGTGGAGGCAGACACTGCAGATCTAATGTAGATAGCTGAAAACAAAGTGACAGGAGGAATTATTGTGTCAGATTCTCAGTCGGCACTGCGGAAGTGTCAAAATATACAAATGTGGCACCAGTGGATACCAAGCATCAGCGCGGTAACAATACAGGGAATCACGTGGATATACTGTCCGGAATATGCAGGAGTGTGAGGGAATGAAAGAGCGGATTTTCTGGCCGTAAACGCTGGAGCTACGGGAACACTCGTACTGGACAAGAGAGATATTCTGAAGACCATATATAAACTTATGTTGATATAAGACAGGAGACTGGATGAAATAACGTGTGTAAAAATGTGTGAACAAGGAATTAGGTGTGGCAAGGAGGGACTTATGAGAGGAAGAGAACGACGTATATATAATCACTGTGCTACAGGAACATTTCGCATCTACAACTTAAGACATTTGCTGCTGGAGACGGAGCACCTAGGGGTATACCCGGTGTGCTGTGATGTCGATTCTTTAATCAGTGACGGGCATATTTTTCTTTATATTTTTTCCACTCCGGGATTGCAGTTTGTAGGATTAATATCGCAAGTATCAGAATTGAACAGCTACACATTCAGCACTCTCTTTGAACCGTAAAGCCATATAAAAGTTAGTTGCGTATTCTTTTCAGGACGTTGCAGAACCAACCCCAGCATTTTTTGCTGCTGTGGTTTTTCTAGGTACATTTAGGTTCCGTAGTTTTGCCATTGCTTTCTGGACAATGGGTTCTTCGATACCACTGTCGAAACCAACGCAAGGTACAAGGCCCGCAGCTGGGTTCGAACCCGGCACCCCGGCATTACGAAGTGCGTTCGCAACGCCTAAGCCACAGACATCGACAATAGCCATATAGTAAGTTAAAAAAAAAGTGAAGGGCCCCTTTTCCACGCTTTTAGGCGAGTTGGGCATACAGTCTACATAGACTTGCGTTGTACAGAACAATCGGCACAAGGTGGGTGATATGGTCAACAGCCGGCCGGCCTCCTTTACTTCCTGGTACTTCTAACTTGTACCCCACTTAAGGCTGGGTCGGCTTGGGATCCAAGTTCATTTTTGGAAGAAAAAATATCCTAGCTGTGTTCGGATTCAAAGCTAGAACCGTGGGATCCGCATGTGAGCGTCTGTCCGCTACATCACCGCGGCTCCTTATAGCCAGTAGAGCACAGTACCACAAAACGGTAACGTAATAATCAGAAGTCCAGCGTGGGGGTGGATGTTTTGCTGACAGACCGATAAGTGTTATATTTATAGGTCCAGACGAGGTTCTGGAGAATGGCTGTACGAGACATTTCTGGCCTTTCAAGTTCCTGATTAACTCCCTCTATGTCGCTCCCGACAACCTGGGTAATCATCTCTTCTTTTGGAGAATTCATGTCCGTTTGCCCAAGGCGTTATTGTTATTATTTGTTTTTCTCTGCCCTTCATTCGACTTTTTTCTCCTTCTCCTCCTCTTTCTCGCCATTCTTCTTCTTCTTCTTCTTCTTCTTCTTCTTCTTCTTCTTCTTCTTCTTCTTCTTCTTCTTCTTCTTCTTCTTCTTCTTCTTCTTCTTCTTCTTCTTCTTCTTCTTCTTCTTCTTCTTCTTCTTCTTCTTCTTCTTCTTCTCCTCCTCCTCCTCCTCCTCCTCCTCCTCCTCCTCCTCTTTCTCGCCATTCTTCTTCTTCTTCTTCTTCTTCTTCTTCTTCTTCTTCTTCTTCTTCTTCTTCTTCTTCTTCTTCTTCTTCTTCTTCTTCTTCTTCTGCTTCTGCTTCTGCTGCTTCTTCTTCTGCTTCTTCAGCTCCTCCTCCTCGTCCTCCTCGTCGTCGTCGTCCTCCTCCTCCTCCTTCTCCTCCTTCTCCTTCTGCTTCTGCTTCTTCTTCTTCTTCTTCTTCTTCTTCTTCTTCTTCTTCTTCTTCTTCTTCTTCTTCTTCTTCTTCTTCTTCTTCTTCTTCTTCTTCTGCTGCTGTTTTAAAAGTTAGGCAAAAATTCTGGAACGGACTGTCGCGCTCCCTGCTCTCTGAATGCCTAGTCGTGGAAGGCTCAGATGGCTAGGATACACTGGGAGGATTGTAGTCACTGTGACATCGTCTAAGGCGAATTACCGATGGGTGGAAGGATGACCTCATGACCTCTGGCACAACTTAAAGATATATGCAGGCGGGACATGAATGATACAGGTATTGAAAATTCATGGGAAACATGAAGGGCAGAAATTATGAAGGGAAGAGGTCACGGAAAAAAATCTGCAGGCAGGTTAAGAGCAGAGAAGGAACATGTTAGATACATGTGGTGACAACAGTAGGGGTGACATGATACACTTCCTTGTGGAAGGACCTTCTTAACACGGGCTGGTTTTGCTAGCCACCTGTTGAAATCCGGCCACCACAACTGGCGAGGACCACTGTTTGTTTCACCCATCATCAAACTGTAGTTGCTTGATTGTGAGTACGGAGGGGACTTATAGGCCCAGTATTGGCTCGGAAGGACCTAGGACAATGAGGGCAGGGAACAGTGTCTTTAGGTAAAGGGCCTGTTGTATGGGTCTTTTAGCCTATCTTCACTGTGTAAACAAAACATTTACGGTCTGCTGTGCTGGTAAATGGTTGCTGTGTTTGTTATTCGTCCTATGCTTGGTTAATATACATTTCTTTAACCTATGGTGGCATTTAAATAGTTTGAGATGAATTCTGTTCGTATTCTAAAATGGTGGATTTTAAGCTGTACGACAGACGTGGTCAATAACGACGCTTTTTTAGGGGTTGCCCAGTTGGTCATGTTCTTAGTACACTTGTTTCCAAAGTGAGGTGCATGCGCCATTTTGAGGTGACGTGTTCAATTCCCGGCACGGTAACTATAGCTTTCGATTTTTATGTTGTCTAGTGTGTCCCATCTTCCTATTTCTTTCTACCAGTGCCGATCAATACATCATCTGTATATGTTCACTGTCCAGCTGCCTTTTTTTTCTAGACACCTGCCAAGTCCCTGCCTTTCTTTGGATAGAAGTCCGTCGTGTTTTGCGTAGCAGCCTCCCCAAGTGTTAGGGATTTTTTTTTGAAGGCTTTAAGTGATGCTCGAGCCACGACCGACTCCAGCTGACGGCCCGCGCTACTGACGTCACCGAGTCGGGCTAACGATGTGTTGATCCAGCCGTTCTCAAACAAGAAATAAACTATTTTAGACAGTGGTGAGGGAAGACAACTTAAATTTTAACTTTTCAGTATCTACATATCTTCTTTAATAATTTCACAATTTTTAGTTTTGGCCACCTCAAAATTTAAAATACGCTTTAAAAACTATACTGGAGAGATGCTGAAGCAAGAAGTAGACAATTTTATAAGTAGGAGGACAACATCGAGAGATGGACGAACAGCTCTCCGAGAGATTATACAACTAAGACAAGAGACAGAGCGTGTTGGAGATCCGTTGTAGCCCAACCTTCACTATGGAGATGGCACCAGATTGATTGATTAATTGATTACACACATACCTTTACAACATCTTTGACTCCATACAAGTCTTTCACCTTAAAAAAAAACTGTTGTGTGCCGTCTCCACAACAACAGTCGGCTGCTGTTGTCCCACTGTTGCCTTTGAGAATATTAAATAATGTTGCTTCAGCCCCTTCCACGATGCGACTCTCGTACCACTCCTAAAGCCACGAGAACAGCATTGAAAAATCGTCTGCCTCGGAGATTGAACCCTCGTAGTCGAGATCATGAAATTGTTAAACACGTTCAATAACCTCTAGGCCACAGATCCGCTTGAAGACAAGCAGACACATAACATGACACCATCCAGACAGTGGATCGAGTCATTGCAAAACTCCACTGTGCGGGAAGTTACCTTCATCTTTGTACCAGGGTATGCGGGTGTTGTTGGCAATATAAGAGCCGACAGATTAGCCGTCGTCTCTGCTCTAGTTACACAGGG